TCAACGTTCTGAGAGCATATTAAACGCTTTTTAATGTACTTCAATTACAATAGAGACAGAGGATTGACTTTATTAAGAGACACCGATTAGCTTTGCTAATCCAGAAAATCTATGACGTATCATATTATAGAAAATTTACTATCGTTTCATTAATTGGAACCTTACAAACATTTTTAATTTTTGTAAATCCATCCACTAAACCATCGAATTCCTCTCTATGTTTCCGATTTGATCCAATCCAGATACCTTTCCTTCCATAACAAACTTCAGGACCATCCGAACCCTCTCGTTTCACACCTTGCTTCCTCCTTGATCCCTGATAACAGTCGGACATGTCTGAAAGGATCACCTCTTGTATAAGCGGTGATCTTCTTGTATAAATTTATTATTTGAGTGCTACCAGTGGGTAGTTTCTCAACAAGCGATTGTTCATGAGTGCACATTTAGTAGATGTATTTATTTTTTATAATATAGTTGTAAATATAAATGTATAAAAAAAAATCCCTAAAGATTTAATTAAAATAAGTATTTTGGTAATAAAATAAAATCCGAATTTTTCTGATGCATATTTGATAAAACAATTATATTTAGAGAAAAGTGGTGGGGACAGAGCTCAATTACTAGAGTAAATACTCGAATAGCCAAATATATAAATGAAACATATCTCAATAACATTGAAATCCCATATAGGATTTTTAGAGGACACATTAGGATTTTAAGACAAAAGCCTAAATTGGAAATGGAATTAAACAGACGTTGCCGTGTTTCAACCAAATTACTTGAATGACGTTCAAAAATATATTTATCTAACAAATTAATCGTATGTAAAGTTTTACCTAACCTAATTTGGTCTTACGGTATAGAACTACGGGGTTCAGTATAAAACTCAACGGTATAAACACCAAACATTAAAAAAAAAAATAGTCTTTCCAGTCAAAAGTGCAAGCAAAGAATTAACCTGTACCACTACAACCCATGAAGCGTCAGGGGTTCAGTACTATTTCTTGGTCAACAGTTGGGCAAGGAGGTGCTTTTACCAAAATCGCCAGGTTTTCTCCCTTAATTAATTATTTAATTACTTGATTATTTAATCCTCCACTTTATATAGACTAGGTGTGCTCCAGGAGGATCTCCCGACCCAAGGGTCGAATCTCAGCCAATTAAACAGAATATATAATTTTTCAGTCATGAGCCGGGATTCGAACCTGGGACTTTGAGCATTGGAAGCTTATCACATTCTAACAATTTTAGAATCTGTAAAAGAATACTTCAATAACTTCCACCAAAAACTAATTTACAACATGAATTGTCCGATAGAAATCCGTAAACCCACAAGACACCCCCACAGCTCACCACGGCGATAACGTAGGCGGTGGCCAAGAGATCTACTGAGCTGATTTTATATCATATTATTGATATGACGCTGTGAAGATGACAACAAACTTCACTAAATGCAAAGCAATTTGCAGACCACAAATTTAAGTTGATGTTCGGATTTTATGTTTGATTTATAAATAAACAAATTTTGTTTATGTTTTATAAATAGTAAAGTAATTTTGTTTTTACCAATGTAATTAACAACACATATCTTTTCATGGCCAAATAAAACTCTTTCAAAACTAATGAATAGTCTCTTCTCTGCATTTATTGTTCTCCAATTTAAATCTGTATACCAAAATAATATAAAAATACTACAGTTATAACTACTGTTTATTTTGAGACCATAGAAATTATTTGAAATTTGGTAAAACTAGAAAAAATAAATAAAAGTGACAAGATTTGTTTTTTATATTAAAGAAGCTATGTATAAATGATTTTTAAAATATTAAAAAAATATTTGGGAAACGGTTCACTCAACCAAAAATAAAGAGAAAGAAACGAGCTTCCAGTTTTCCATGAAGTAAAGCTACCATTGAACCGGGAATATTTTTGTTATTTATTAGACTGTAGATAATCTACGGACAACGTAAAAGTAATGTATTCGGAACATGGGTGTAGGGTGCGAAAAGTGAAAAGTGTCATATGTAAACTGGAAAAACCTTATTGGAGCCATTCATCCGCCGCGAGGGGAAGCCTCTGATAAAACTCACTTATCTTCTAATAAATTAGCACCTGTCACTGCTTTCCATCACCCCTCTCTTTTTTTTTTTTTTTTTTTTTTTTCATGGCTCTGCCTATCCTCCTCCATATATTTTATTTCACCCTATCCCAGTGGTCAGTAATAATGTTTGTTTTTTTACTCTCTTCGGCTCATAATAATCCATATGTTTAAATATATCGTCGTTGTCAAGTGAAATACATACATAGAACATGTCCTATGTGCTGCAATCTTTGTTTTCAGTTGATCCATAATCATTTAAAACTATTGGTAATTTTCAATATTATTAATGATTATGTGTATTTTTTTTTTTTAGTTTTCTAGGTTATTAATATATTTTAGCTGGTTCTCGATGAGTTTATTTTAAAGTAATTAAGATCCTAAAAATATAAAACTGTACCAAATAAAGACAATATTTTTTTCGAAATTTGTCAACTATACTTATTTTAAATTACACACTGGATATTTTATTACAATAGCGTTAAAAAAAAAATTAAAAAAATAGTGCCTGGTCAAAACATTAAACAACCCTTTGAAATATGCAGTGATCTCTTTCAATATACTTTTTGAACTCTTGCAAGTCCCCATTTTATGAATATTGCAAATTGACCAGTTGAAAAAGTATTACTGTCATAAACAAACACATTAAATATGCCTTTTATATTCAACTTCATAATTTTATAAATATAACTTGGATTTATTGTTTATTATACATTAAACATCTGTAACCTTCTTGGCCACCAAATTCTTGGCTTACATCGACCAACATGTGAAAATGCTAATCTGACAGTTGAACACATATTTCAGTGCGAAAAATTCCGGAAACAGCAAATCGAACTCCAAATTGATGACAAGGGACAGTACAAAGAAAACACTGGTATTGAAAAAATGCTGAAGTACATTCGAAAAATAAAATTAATAAGTTATATTTAAGAAAAACGATTAGCGACCCTTGCAGTCCATGCGACGTTAAAATATAGAAAATAAAAAAATGAAAAAAACATAGCATATTTACACATGATAATAACCAAATAAAAAAAATAACTATTGCAATCGGAGAAATCCATTTGTGAGCTTGAGCATAACCCTTCTCCCACAAAATATAGGTCTAGACTTTGCTAGGTGACCAGCCAACTGGAAACCTCTGTTTTGCAATCTAGTCCAACCATCTTCCTGAAGAAGTCACATCTGTATTCCTCGACGCCTTTCATAACGATAGATACAAACATTCATCACCATTGCCACCTTTTATCACCTTTTGCCCATTTCAATTCTTGTTTCAGGGCATGGTGAGTTATATCATATTACAGACTAATCTTCTTTCTGATGTCATATAGCATCACTGAATACTCTCGCATAAACTCTTAGTTATTTTTGTTTCTAATACAAACATTGTTTGTATCACAAAAGAATTTGTTTAATACCATTTCTTTATTTTGGAATATGGCCTTGATCCGTTGAAATGCAGCGCAGCTCAAAAACATGATCCTTTTGTTGTCTCGGTAATAATGAGGCTAAAAATGCTGTGGAATATTATGCTGTTGAAGTTGGAGTTGCGTGATCATTAAGGAGAATCTATTTCTGAGATATTGTTTTATGTTTTCATGAGATCTTATATTGGGCGTCTCCAAGAGGGAATCCATTCCCCTGTGGCATCTTGAATTATGAATTGTTAACTGTACATTATACAACAATAAATAAATAATAATGTAGAGATGGTTGACCGTTGATATAATATGAGAAGGAGTTAGTCGAGGGTGCGGTCAAATAAATGTTTTGTTTCTTTGTCATCATTACGTTGTTTCATCATTCTTACATTTTAAAGTTCTCTTTTAAAATTATTGTTTTCTTATAGAGTTATTTATACTTAATAATCTATCCTAACGATATTACACTAATGTTACCCGATTAATCTTTCAATTTCTTCACTTCTTAACCTTTAGTCCCGTTATCTGTTTACTTACAATTAAAGGTAACCTCCACTTGCTTGTTATCCACTGATATCTTATTATTATGTTATCTTATTCTTATTTTAACTTTACTGTAACAATACTTATTCAATTTTCAATCTATTTATTCGTTAACATTCATTTTCTTTATCTGTTAACCCACAGTTATCTAATGTAATCTCTATTAGTTTGTTATACACTTATTCCTTATCTTTTATCGCAATCTGTTTACTTTTAACTTACATGCTATATTCTCCTTTATTTTTATTTGTATTCATACTTATTTTCCATTTATTTGTATCTTCTACATATATAATACTTAATATTTAACTTTTTGCTACGAATTTCTGTATTTCATTTAATTTTAACTCTAAGTTACATTTCCTTGGTTTATTATAGTTTTTGCCTTTGCTATATAGATTTTTATATATTTATATTTTTTTTTTATTTATTTATTTTTTTTATTTATTTATTTTTATATGGCATTGTATATATGGTATGAATGTGCCTCACTCAGCCTTAGTAGTCAGTGCCCTTAAGTGTGGCAAAATGTATTATTACTCAATAAACTGATACAAAAAAAAAAAAATATATATATATATATATATATATATATATATTTGACTACATTGTCGCCCAGTATATCTCTGATATCATCTTTTATTTCTGTATCTGACAACTTCTTCTTATTATATATATCTACTTATATTTATTTTTATTTTCAACATGTTTTGTATCTTTTGTAGCCCTGAAGACGACCTGCAAAGTGGGTCGAAACGTCGGCAAAAATTAAAATAATTACTACATTTTAATTTAGTATTTATTTGACCTCACCCCCGACTAACTCCTTCTCATATAATAAATAAATAAGAATGACTTAAATTCTGTTTATAACTAGAAGAATATTTTGTGTTACCGAATTAATTTTCTGTTATAGGATACGACAGGAAGACATGGGAGGGGCTTGGTGCCCGAAGGCCCAGATCTCTTCCGAGGTGCGGGAGTACCTGGAAGTTGACCTGGGCCGAGACCACCTCATCACGAAGACGGAGACCCAAGGGAGGTTCGGCAACGGTCAGGGGCAGGAATACGCTGAGTCCTTCCTCGTCGAGTACTGGAGGGATGCCCTGGGCCAGTGGGTCGTGTACAAGGACTCGAAGGGCAGTAAGGTGAGAACTCCATGATATTTACTCCAACACTGTCATTTAACAATGTCATTTAACATTAATTATTTATTTTTATCATTTTGTGTTTACTGTGTATAATCTTACCATCGAAACATGATTCACAAAAGACTAATCTTTAATCATTTTTTATTTTTAAAAACTTAATCATTTTTTTTTTCATATGTGTACTAAAAATGAAAAAAAGTTGTGGAACAGTACAAGTGATTTATTTTTTGTCATCTGAAGTAGGTTTGGAGGGTATTTTTGGTTCTGAAATCCACCTTAATACTGTAACCATCATGCTAATGCGTTAATTTTTTTAATAATGATAATTTCTTAAATAAATAAACATTTCTTTGTAATTGTTCACCTGTTAACGTGACAACCAATCTTAGAACAAATATTCTTCATGTTATCGGTACCAAAAAAAACAGGTTTATCAACGAAAATTCTCAGAAATGGAGCAATTTTTCCTCAAATTATTCAATTCAGTGAGGTGCTAAAAACTCATAAATAGCCATCTCCTTCCAAGTTGAAACGTAAGATAATTTGAGAATAAAAAAAATAAGGTGGTCTACAAAAATATTGGGCCATTTGGCATTACTAACCTCGTTATTTTCACATGCTTTTAGGCCACCATTTTTTTAATTATGCTGTTTATTGAGGTATTTATGAATTTTCAATACCTCAATAAATTAGTTCATAAATACATTTGCTTGCCGCTTATATCGTAAGATAATTTGATCACAAAATCTTGAAAAAGGGTGGCCTACAAAAATATTGAACCATTTGGTGAGTCCTACACTCCAGCAGGAAACGCCCCATTGATGAGAATCTTCATAAATAAAAAAGTTGTAGGTAGCGATGAGATCTATTCATCTTTAACTACAAGTTTTAGGCTGATATTAATAAGTATATAATAAGGAGTCTGTACCACGGACTGTATTGTCAACATTATCTACGCACTGTGAATATATTCTAAAGATTTGATAGTGTTTGAAAAAAAAAAAGTTAACTATTGTAAAAAGTACACACGTATACGATTTTAGTCAGTAGTGCCCAAAAGGGGATTCCAAGTCACGAATTGCCCCATCCAAATTTTTGAGAGGAGCAATATTTTAGGAGTTTATGAATTTTGGAGGAGGCGAAAACTTTTACGAAGTTATGAATTTTCAGAGATAAATATATTTTTTGAGGAGTGTTCTAGAGAACAAGGGCAAACACATGGAACATACATCAGCCAGTGTAATTGTACATAAACTAAATTGTTAATAATTTTGGATTCACTAAAACCGCTTTTAAGAGCGTAGAACAATAAAATATCTTGGGTGATGGAGGATATACGGGTCATTGTCTTTGGGTGGAAAGGGCATTTCTTGTTTTAATACTACAGAGAGAGAGTCGCAATCCTTTTTAAACTAAACTATAGTAGAGGCTGAGCGGGCTGATGCGTGTGCATATCATGCATTGACTGGCAATCTGATTAATTGAAGATAAAATTATAAAATAACCACATATTCGTATCCCGGTGTCATGGCAGCTTTTAACACTGGGATTAATCCCCCGCCCTCATTCCTGGCCTGTGAAAAAGAACCGTATGGCGTAGAAGGCGAGGAAGTGGAGAAGAAAACAAAAATGAAACTATATTAATAATTCTGCTAGGTACACGGTTTGAAATAATATTTATAATACAGTTTTTCTGTATATACAACGTTAATATAACTGGAAAATGATACCCTGCAAAAAAGTGTATTCAAATAATTCCAAATTGATTTGTAGATGAGTTCTAAAGTACGTTTTTTAACATCTTTGAAATTGAGGAAAATATAACAAAAATAAGATATGTTATTTATGTACTTAAATGCTCATACGGAGTCATAATGCAGATATAGAAGGAAAAACTTTATTTTGTTGCTTTTCTTTCGATTTTATTCATCTTCTATACAACAGTTATGAAATAATAATTTTCTTCAGCTGCTATTTCAGAGTTCTGCCGTATCATAAAGGGGCTTTATTACTCGAATCTTTTCTTCGTCAAGTGCCTTGAAGAAGGTCCCGCAAAGCCGAGGAACATTCCTGAAAGGAGCCGGCCACGCTATTCCGGCTGAGGCGATAGCGCCGCCGATAAAGGAAACCTAATTTGCCAACGGCGCTCTGTGTCTTTTGTTTAGCCCCGGCTGCTCAGTGAGTTAATTGCCAAAATATCTGCCCGCCATCGTTTCAATTAAGGACAAAGAGATGGACCAGGCCGCAGCCTCCCTGCCCATGACAACCGGGAGATAACGTCTTCACTTAATTCAGGCCGATTTAGAGATCCTCGAGGGAGGACTATCTTCATCGTCCATCTCTTATCTCTAAGCTCCGGATCTCGTGGCAGAGCGCAGTTGTTACATCCTCCATCAGCATTTGATAATTGCTAGATGGATGCTTTCCTAACACTGCGCTTATAGTATAAGAGCTTAGATATTTTTATAATACTAATATGCTTAGTGAACCCGAAGGTTCGATTCCGATACTACCAATCGCAGCCTATCACTCTCTCCGCTGGTCGCGTTCAACCAGATCACGCCAGATAAACCTTAACGGAATCTATCCTCCTTCTATCTGGCCTGCTTCTCGGACAATTACCAGTCGGAACCACAAATTAACCGTTTAGGGATTCTATCGGTGTTAAGCTCAACAATTTTACATGCCCATTTTATTTGCAGGAATAAAAACACCTTAATTGATATATTAACCGTACATAGATCACTCAATTCTGAGGTGATGACCGAGCGTGTGATATGTTTTAGGGGTGTAGAATTTTATTCGGGATGCCACTGGATAATTATTGATGATAATTACCCAGAAATGTTTAATAAAAACTAATTATAAAAATTAGTAAAATAAATTTGGACCAATAATATATTTGGTCCAAGATTAATTAATTGGATTTATTTTATCAAAGGCTGGTTTGTGTTTATCATGCTTTCGAATTACCTACATTACCTGTCATCATCAAGACATGGATGGGTGGCAGAATTAAAATAACTTTTACTAAAAAACTTAATTTATTTCTATATTAAATAAAGAATATATACAAATTATATTTACAAGAAACTAACTAAGTGATTCAATGAATTTAATAATTAACTGTGAAGGTATGATTTCGGATGGACTGTTTTGAGTATTATTTGCCATGAAATATGGTAACATTAAGATTGGGAAATACAATTTAGCTATTATGGTATGTGAAGTGGTGTAGTTAGTAGATTTCATCGATGCATCTGGAGATCTGAGGTCATCTGTCAAGGCCAGGTCCAAAACTCTGCCAGGATCTTCATGGTCTATGTTGGGCCAAGGCTTCAGTCCCCAATCCGGAAGAAAACATAAGACACATCATCAAGGCCGGAACTCAACATAAGACCTATTCTCAAGGCAGGACATCATCGTAAGACCTATTTTCTTACTTCTCGGCTTATTATATACAAATATTCAGGGTCGGTCAAGGATGGTTCCCATTGGTTCTTAACTTCGCCCTATTACTTTACAATAACTGGTAACACCCTAAAAGGAACCAGTTACTTAGCCCGTTAATAGTTTTTACTCTAAGCCTTCCCCAGAGTCCAGGTACAGGTCGGTCTTTATCTACCTGTTCCTCCATCTTTGACACTGTTATTGGTGTCAGAAGTCGGTTTCATTCAACATTGTTTTTCACAAATAATAATTTTAAAACCTTATTTGCAATTTTCAATACATAGCATGTGTTTTAACGATAACTATAACATGCTAGTGTCTAGCGAAGCCAGTTCGAAATTTATTTTATGCTACACACGGAATATATCTTACCTCGAAAAATTGAAAGCTATTTTCAACCAGAGATCTTGCTTTCAATAACTGGTAGAAATGAGGTGAAGAGTGAGAAAGAAGACATCGGAGAAGTTTATAAGATGAGCTGCCAAGTGAGAGACAATATGCGAGTTTGTAGCGAGATCCATTATGACCCCCCTCACCCTCCAGGCTCTGGGGCCCAGGGTCGGGGCGAGCTTGAAGAGGCCGCACAACTGACAGGTCGGGGAATAAAGTTTACAGGTCACTTCCCTAGGGATGGGAGGGCTCCTTCCAAACTTACCTGAGCACCTCCTGGCTTAACTTTCATTTCTTCCTCCCGTCGGGGGAACTTACACAGCTTCTGCTTTACCATCTTTATACCCCATCCCGAGGATTCTCCCATTGGCTCATTCTAACTGGGTTGACTTTCGCGTTCGCATTAGCACTCCGGAATATTAGTTCATGGGAACTTGTTTTCAGAGACCGAGTTACGTATTTACTTAAGCTTGCCCTCCTTCGTAACTGTAGACGTCCTCTCTTCCTTTTTCCCTTAATGAAATGTACCTAGTACATATTCAAAACCTAACATTTTATCTTCATAAAAGGTTCTTACTTAATTCTCGTTTCACCCTGAATCTATAGAAAACAACTTTATTATATTAGCTGCTTGTATAAATATTCAGTAGACAAAGGCTTTATAGTTCAGACTGATGACTCTGTAATTGGAAATGATTTCTTCTTTCATATTTTCCACCAGTAAGTTAACAATTACTCTGGGTATTACCCTTGCACTAAAAATCTTCATATATATATATATATATATATATATATATATATATATATATATATATATATATATATATATATATATATATATACAATATTTTACAAATAAAATATATTACCTTTATTGGTAAAAAATAAACACTATAGTAAAATAACAATACTATTTACAATAAAATATAGACTATTTTAGAGAAAGAATATGTTTCGTTCTCTTATGTGAAACATATTTTACATATCTCGTCTCTGCCTTAGAAACAGAACTTTTTCTTTATTGAAATTTATTACTGTATGCATAATACTTACATAAATTAACCTCAATACTTACATCAGTAAACCTGCTATAAGAATAGAAAATATAATGTGTTATGAAGTTCCTCATTATCAGATCTACAGTTATTAAATTTGACTTAATAGCGAGCTTAATGATTTAAATCATTAATAACATGTGATTGAGCATAATGTCATGTTGGCTTAAAGATTGGTTCCTAGAGTGTTTTTGGTGGTTTCTAACAGCACAATTCATGACGAATAAATTAATAAAGCTCATAATTTATGACGAAGGGTAAAATATATCTATGGGATATATTTCAATTATGCACCTTTGAAAGTATTTCGGTGGCCGTTAATATATTATTGTACAAACTTAATAAGAATTAAATTTAGATTTGATAACTACCAGAAGTCACCCAATATAGATAATCGATCAAAATAATCCTAAATATTTACAGTAGATCACTCTACTGTAGAGAACAACCAAAATTGTAGTCATTAGAGTAACGCAAAATTGTGGTTTGTTGTCCTCTTTCTTACTGCAAGACTATAAAAGTCTGTAACTGAGAGTTTAGAAGCCATTACTGGTAATTTTTTTTTGGTCATATGTTATTCGTATGACCCTATTCTCCTCCATTTACCTTTTCAATATATTTGCAGTTCGTCAACGACTATTATAGATAGCAATATTTTAGTTTTTAATATTAAATATGTGATAAGCATTTCGTGACAACAGTAGAAACTCAAAGGCTTTCGGTATTTTAAAATACTCGAAAACTGTAAATTTTAGGACTTTAGAACGCATGGTCCTATGTCTTGACGCCCATGTCGAAATCTTAAAATCACAATTTATATCACCTCGATCTGTCGGCTTTTGAAAACATCTGTGTTTTGAAACATCTCAATTTTTTCAATGACTTTTATGAAGTTTCCTTTCGTTTGATTCGTTATTTGTCAAAATTCATCGCTTTTGGGATGTGGAAAAGGGATCTATACAACAGCCATATTATAAATAACATGGGTGGAAAATCGCGTCCTCCAAACGTTTTTGCGCGATATTTATTAATCTAGTTGTAAAATTAATTAATATTTAATTATTTTAGTAGCGACAATTTGGAAGTTCATAGCATTAAGTTGAATGTATGTATGTGTGTGTATTTGTTGATAAATAAAAATAGCAACGGTAAAATATAAAGAATTATTGCAGCCTCTAGAAGCACTGCCTAACCTTACAGCGTTCTATAATTATAAAAAGCTTTCCCTGTGATATATAGTATAGATAGATTAAATTATAATTAAAAATATCTATTTCCAAATTTTTATAAATCTATATTCGATATTTTACTGATTTAAACTATCCCTCTATTTGAGCTTTAAGGTGGTTCAGTTAAAGACTGAAGGCGCTCACACATCTACGGAAAATGCGATAGGATCTCCTTCAGCTTTTTCAGCGCGGCTTGGATGTTGGTCACTCCGTCCCCTGAAGAATGGTGTTCGTGTTTTTTTTTTTTTTTTTCTTTTACCTCTCGTTCCCTTTTTCTCTCCTCCTGTTAATTTGTTACGTGATGCCGCTGCATTCCAACGCCTGATCTCACGGCAGATTATCGTTAATTGTAGCCGCTTGGATTTCGGAAACTGCTGTTTCTCCAGTGTTTCTTTCTTTCTTTTTTTTTTTTTATCCTTCTAGTTCATTAATTTTCATGAGCTTAGCAACCGAACCCGAGAATTTATTTGTTAAAAACGTTCGAAGAAACGAATTTAAACATTCGTTCAGTGATGAAAAGAAATTATATGTTCGAAATTATGATGTTCCTTTTTGCATTGTTTTGTGTTGGCTCTCTGCGGGAACTCTCCAATATAATTTATTTATGGAAGATTCAGATGTTAATAAATGTGAGCCAGTAAAAAGAAAAAAAAATAACGAGATAATTTGATGTTTTATAAGGATAAATTCGATTATATGATTTTTTTTGTTGTATATTCAATATAAAAATATTTTTTTAAATTATACACTACAACTATGAAATAATTTATAAAATAGCTTTGATTTGATATAAAGACTATGGTAATTATCCTTTCATGACATATTTTATCATTGTAATTATGACTGCCGTTGTAATTTTCCGTAAGATCATTGATTTTGAATGAAAGTGGTATATTTGTAATTGCCATTCTGAATATACGACTAAAATTCTTACATATGAACTTAAAAAACGTTGCCTGCAATAGTTTTTCTTGTTCCTTATTTGTACAAGACAAATACCACACAATGCGACGAAATAATACCGATATTTTATTCAAGTACAAATCTATATAAGACTGACTCTTCTGAGAGGTGAAATAAAATAAGAAATATTTCAGGTGACAAATGATAGTGGGTACAATTTTCGGTGACTAATAAATTAACTATTTGCAAAGTCCTCTAATGGGGACTTGTTTAATAAGTTGTATAATAACAACTTTCAAAAAAAAAGAATTCAATAGTTCCAGTCAAAAGTTTTTTTGAAAATTGTAGACTCCCCCTTTTATGTTTCTAATCATACGTTACACAGTGACATCTACAATTCTATTATCGCAGCAACCGCCAGAGACCATTTTAATAATTTTCATGACAGGCTGACTCGAAATTCAAATCTACTTACTCTATTTACTGCCATAAATTCATATGATCCGCTCTCGGAAGGCTGCTTATATTTTAGTTTAGTTTTGTAATTTACTTATATATTATTTTTTACTAGTTTTTTAATTCCATTTTTTTTCTTACTATTTTTTATTATTCATATTCTTTCTTTCTCTTTGTTTATTTTTTATTTCTTTCTCTTTGTTTGTTAGTATTGTTCTGTTCTGCTTGACATCATACAGACAGAAATATGTATATATTATAAATAAAAAATAAAAAAACACATTTCAGAGTTTAAAATTTCTATAACTGAATGGAACGAATTATGTTTTATTTTATATATATATACCTACTTGTCTTAAAAATTCTGAAAAAAGTCTTAAAAATTTGATAGAAAATATAGTAGTTTTTTATTAAGTCCTTTATTATTGCTGAAATATAATTCTACGAGGTGTTTATGGATTTAAGTGGATATGTGTATTTAATTAATGTTTAACTTTCAGTTTTGATGATTAAAAAAATGAATACAGCACAGTCATTTCATCCGTTTGCTCAATTATTACTTTTCATTTCGACATGAAGATCCCTAGTCATTCTCTGTCGAATGTTAGTTTAAGTTTATGCACCGTATCTGTTTGAGGAATGTTTTTAGCCATTAAATACTAGTGGATTTAAAACACTGTCTTGAAGAGTCAGCATGCAGTTACAATCTGAAAGTTATTTTCAGCTGAAGGATGACTTATCCTGACAGACTTCCGATCAACGTTTCAAACGATTTTGTAATTTTAATTTTTCATCAAACGGAAATAAATTGATATTTTTTTCGATTACTCGTTGACCTGCAATCGGTCAAAGAGGAATCGAATCAATAGTCGAGCTACAGAGGTAAAAAAAAAAAAAGAAATAAATAAAACAGCTACAGTTTGTTAGAAAAGAAAACCTCTTTGAAAAGGAAAACAGCAGAAGATGAAATAACAGAGCCTCCCGGAGAGAAAATGAATTTATAAAAGTTAATTATGAAAGTTAAACAAAAGGAGGTAGGATAATTACTCCATTTATTTTAAAAACCGCAGCTCCCTCAAGGCGTTCCTGCTCCCGTAGAAAATTTACACAGATCTCCTTCAAACCACAAAGTTCAAAAAGCTTACAAAATAAGCAGTGTAGAAATTTATAATTATTATTTAATTTTTTATTGTTGACAGAGAGGGGTATCCAAAAGATTTATTGATCACTTTAAATCGATGAATTCTTTCAATTAATTTGAGAATTTTCAATTCAACTATTTCATTCTGTTCTTTACGGATAAGAAACGTGACTGTTATATTAAGGCATGAAAAACTCTTTAGCATTTTTGACAATGAAGTATTGCACTAAATATTTGTACAGCATGACGAATGAACTGGAAAATTTTCATGGCTTCACAAAGCCGAATTGCGTGAATTGAACCCATTGAATATAAATGAGATGAATATAGCGAATATAAATTGAGGTTTGCGGAATCTAAAATTGACGTTTTAAAATGTTGGCCTTAGTGGCCAATGAATCCCTAAAAGGTCAATGTGAACTGTTCCGACTGATAAAGAACCGAGGATTAGATCAAAGTAAAGATGGAAGGATTGTGTTAAGGCCGATCATGCAAGGACTGGATTGGAGATCGGTAGATGGAAATGTGTAGGCAGTGAGTAATGTTGTCAGCTTCGAACCTTGGTTATATTTTTTAATTAAACAATTTCTGTAAAATATTTAAAAATCTTTAACTTCAAACCATGCATTGTAGATGAAAAATCATTATTAAAAATCATAAAAAAAAAACTTCTTTTTAATATCTTCGACCATGAAGGATCTTTTTTTTTAACATTTATCATAAAAGTTTAAAAATTAATAGTTCAGACTAATTACTTTTTTAAATTATAGCTATTCATAATTTTTACTTTCACTTTTTTTAATGGTGTGGTTAGTGTCTAAGGATGCTAATTAAGTTAAACATATGTAACATAGTTGAATGTATAACAACAGTATTATATCTTGATGTTGCTCTTTTTTATAGCAGAACCACTAATATTAATGATATTAATAAAATAGTTTGTTTTTATATTAAGCTTTCGTTCTTGTATTTAAAAATAATTATTACTATCAAATAGATCGGGATGTTGATAAAAACACATATTGTATAAGTGTTATTGTAATATAGGGGTATTCAGAAGGAGTTATCATTGCACAAGTCGAGACACCAAAATTGTTTTGACGGTTTTTTGAATTTTCGAGGTGGAAAAAGGAGGCAAATTTCGACGGAGTTATAAATTTTCGGATTAAGGGACAAGGGGTAAGACATGGAAAACCGTAGCAAGTGTAATTGTATATGATCTACGATTTTTCTAATTCTACCTTAGATTGTTCTGTTTTTAAGAAAAGATGAGCTATGAAATATCTTGGTAGGACAGAGGAGAGGCTACTCGTGTTGTAATACATTTATATAACAAAAAATAGCAGAGGAATAAATAATTATAATGCAAGCAAATATTATTTATTATTTTTTAAAATAAAATTTAGAGATAAACAAAAATTAACCTGAGACGTTGATGTCTATGGGGTTTTACGCCTTACCAAAAAATACAAAACAAGCAGCACTTAACAGTTCACTGTTACAGAAACTTACTTAAAATAATATACGATATTTGAATAAAAAAACAAAACACGAAAACTATAAAGAAATAACATAGACTGTTACTGTTACTTTCCCTAATACGTCGCTGTTATTGGTTGAGATGGAAGACAAAGGATATGTAACCGCGATCCTAGAGCCTCCGATCCATGAATCCATCGAGCCAATTACAAAGCCAATTGCTCGTAAGCCAGCCAGCTCCAGCTAGCGCTCGACCAACTGATCGCTGCCGCAGAGCCGATTACTCTAATCGTCCGGCTTTATCTCCACCTAATTATATCCAGTCTGTCTGCTCTTGCGCTACCATATCTAATGCGCCCGTTTTTATTTTAAATTATTGAAACTGCCTCAGCATGTGTTTGAGGCTAGGTGATGATTCTCTGACATGGTGCACATTAGATAAAATTTTATATCTAGTGATCTTCATTAGTTATAAGAATAAAAACATTTAAATGATTAGTTCTGAAGCACTGAATAAAAAAATATTTTAACGAAGAATTAACGGTTAGAGCTGGGGTCAAGAAGTACATAGATCTGTGGATATCGAAGCGTGATATAAAATTTGTAGTATCTCATCTAAGTTTATTAACATAATAATAACATATTATAATTTTAAAGAGAATACATAAGTACAACCTCACAGCCATAAGTCTCCAAAATAGCGGAAAACAAGATAAAGTGGATTATTGAGAGGGTGTGATGTAGGGGTTATGTTGTGTTTATTTGTTTTTTTTTTTGTTTTTGATGTGATGGGAGTGGGGGGGGGGGGGGGGGGGGGGGGTGGGGGGGGGGGGGTGGGGGGGGTGGGTGGGGGGTGGGGGTGGGGGGGGGGGGGGGGGGGTGGGGGGGGGGGGGGGTGGGGGGGGGTGGGGGGGGGGGGGGGGGTGGGGGGGGTGGGGGGTGGGTGGGGGGGGTGGGGGGGTGGGGGGGGGGGGGGGGTGGGGGGGGGGGTGTGGGGTGGGGGGGGGGGGGGGTGTGGGGGGGTTGGGGTGGGGTGGGTGTGGGGTGTTGGTTGTGGGTGGTTGTTGGGGGTTGTGTGTTGGGTGTGGTGGTGGGGGTGTGGGTTTTGTGTGGTTGTGGGTTGGTTAGGGTTGGTGTTGGTTTGGGTGGTGGTGTTGTTGGTTGGGGTGGGTTGTGGTGGGGGTGTGGGGTGTTGGGTGGGTTGTTGTTTGGGGGTGGTGTGGGGTTGGGGTTTGGTTTTTTGGGTTGTGTTTGTGGTTGTTGATGGTGTGTTGGTGAGTTTGGTGTGGGTGGGTGGATGTGGTGTGGTGATGTGGTGTGGGGTGGGGGAGGTGTGGTGTTATTGGATGAGTGTTTGGGGGGGTGGAGTGTTGAGTATTTTGGGTGAAGTATGGTGTGAAGGTGTAGTTTTGGTTTTTAGGTTGGGGTTAGTTTGTTTTAATGGGTTTAGTGACGCCCCAATGCTTAGCTCTCTATGTCCAAAGAAGCCTTAATGTAGTGATGTAAATAAGCTTTCTATAATTAATTGGAAGCTTAGAAAGTTTGTCTAGCAAGTATTGGAGCGACCGGGAACGTCGAGCAGTTTTTTGTCGTTTCAGTCTTGTATGCGGACTCCAAGAAGTTTGTCCGAGGTAATGAATTTGTTGAACAGGGTTAACTGTATTATTATTGAAGGATGCTGTCGGACAACAAGTCATAGCTTCTTATTCTTCCACAAATTCATCATACTTTCTTGTTGCTTGGCTCCTCTGTTCTCAGTCCGATTTCATTGGTTGAGGTTTTTCTTTTTACCACACAAGGATCATCAATCCAAATATTGTCTTCCATTATTTTTCCCTGTCTAGACAATCTTCTACTGCAACTTCAAACTCCCCTTTCATCTGTTTATCAGGCACATTTATATATAGTTTTTTTTTAGTTTAATTTTATTTGTTTACTTATTGTTATAATTGTTTTTATTTTATTTGTTTTTGTTATTTTTCGTGTCATTTTCTATGAATAAAAGTTACATTTAGGCCATTGTTTATTGTTTCTGTATCGGTTCGGTGAATGTTACGGTGTAAAAAAAAAAATGGATGATTTGTGTTCTTGCAATCTTAGGTATTTTAAAAGAAGGAGATTGTCCTGGGTGGCGGTCATATATAGACTAAATAGTAGCAAAACTGTTTTATTAAAAGCCAACGTTTAGACCCGACTTTCCAGGTCTCGGACCATCTTCTTCCTTAATAATACAACGATCAACTATTTAGTAATCATTAGGTATTTTTATTTTTACAATGTCACGTTAATCTTACACCAGCACACAATGAACATTAAAAAATATTAATTTTGTTTAACAATAAATTCGCTCTTGTTTTATTTTTCTTTGTAAAACCCGAATCAATACCCGGAATAAGGAACAACATTAACAAGATTGAGAAGCTCACTTTGCATACAGAAGCGGATGGAATAATATGACGTGCCCTGAATACCAACCCCATTTCCTTCCCCACCCCTATAATGTACGCAATACCATTTATTGAAACTTACCCCCCTTGAGCGCAGTCTATGGATATCAGACGAATTTCATTATTTTTGTATTTTACCAAATTTATATTTTACTTTTGCATTTAAAAGTTTAAAGCCCAAATATATATATTTTTAGTTAGATAAATGAACATTAGCGTAATATGCACCTCCTAATTAAATTAATGTTATGTAAAATTTAGAAGCAATTTTAAAATAGGTACATAAATGTTTAAAGGGAATAAAGCATTTTTGTGAATCATTTTAAACGATGAAAAATATTAATTTTGTTTTGAATCCTGATATTCCATAAGATATGATATGATGATATAATTGCAGAAGTTTAGTATGCATGCACATGTCGTTTAATGTTAGGTATAAGCAATACATTATTGTAGATTTATTGGTGAAGAACCTAATTGAGAATCCTTAAAAATAGGAAAGAGGAAATTACAGGATAATGCAACCTGGATATATAGACTTAATAACAAAGGACAAGGCAATCAAACGCTTCAAAAATTTATGCCGGTTATACGTCTTATACCCCCTTATAATAACTATGTAATCACTAAAATCAGCTTCATCGTGTTCATCCAAATCCTCTCGTCTCTAACCTTGCTTTCTCTTCTATCCGTGATAACCCTCCGAGGAGTCTGGAAAGAAGATGGCCTCGAGATCTCCTATTGTAAATATTTTTTTTTTCTTTTAGAGTGCTACCAGTGGATAGTTTCTCAACAAGTGATTTCAAGTTATTATTTTCGGTTATCGAATTTACTAAATGTATTTTATTTGTTAATACAGTTGTAAATGTCATAAATAAAATTAAAAAACAAAGTATGTGTTAGGCAACTGCAGGCAGTTGGCAGTACGTAAGGTTTTGTTAGTTGCATGCCAAAGTGCTTTAGTTAGGAGTCGTAATATTTTTTATCAAAAAATTAGGAGTTTTTGAAAGGCTTATAGGTGATATGTCGGTCCATTTCGATATTTTATTCCAAATTGAGTGCTATTAAAAGTATTGGAGTATATATATATATATATATATATATATATATATATATATATATATATATATATACATCATGGCTCATTCATTTTAGAGCTAATAAGATACTTATTTAAAATAATAGTCTGTTAAATCTTCTTTCAGATACTGTCCGGCAATACCAACACCTACCTCCCTGTCGTACAAGACCTGGAGCTGCCGTTCGTTGCAAGCAGAGTCCGGTTCATCCCCTATAGCGAGCACCCGAGGACTGTATGCATGAGGGTGGAGATCTATGGCTGCCCCTGGGAGGGTAAGTCTTAGTATATTTCATAGTTTTATAGCTATCAATAAATGATGGATCCAGGAGTAAAAGCATTTTAAAATACAAAAATTAGTTCTGAGAAAATATAATTTGAAGCAACATTTGTTGGCTATGCATTTCATGAAACTTTTTTTTAAATTTCCTTAAAACGGCTCTACATCAAATATAACTACAAATCAAAGCACTTCCTGAAAGCTACAAGATGACACAGAAATTTTAATAAAAATTGCTGTTGAAGTGATTTTAATCATTCAAATCAGCCTAAGCAAATATGTATGTGTGTGTGTGTTTGTTCGTATGTATACAATCATACATATAAAGGGTGTTTAAGGATTAAGTGGCCAAACTGAAAATATAAATTAAGAACCTCAAAACAAGAAAAATATTTCATATGAAGGTATGTCCCCAAACGCTTTCTTTAGGAGATATTCACACCTAAAGATTTTAATTGTTATGAATTATTTATGTTATATTAAGTAAATAAAACTTATTTATTTGTTTCAACATCTTTAATTATTAAACGTATACATTAAATTCATATCAAATGTTGTTCAATGTGATTTTATTAATCATTAAGACAGGCTCGTCATCTTTCTTCAACAGCAGTAGTGGGAGAAAGGCACTGGATATGTGTTGTTGTTTCACAAGATTCAATTATCCTTCTTCGTAAGGAATTAAAGTCATTGACCCGACTTGAATAGACTTTTTGTTTGATGTCACCCACCAAAAAAAATTCAGTGGTGTCAGGTTCGGAGAGTGCGCAGGCCAAGCCACTGGTTTTGCACGGCCAATCAATTGATTGGAATAATTAACATTTAGTCATCGTCGCGGACCTCTTCCGTAATGTGCAGGACAACCGTCTAATTGAAGCCACATGACCCTTCTCAGTTGTAGTGGAATATGTTTATGCCGATTTATAGAGGCTAAATGTGCCCCAAGAGATCGATCCATGGCTGGTGTAACAGAATAAATAATAATCAGATATAGCAGAGCATTTTGCAGTGATATTGAAAATAAATGTGTTACGAAATCGTCGGTCTGATATTCAACGATCCCACAATTCAAGACCCTTAGGACCCAAAGGAGTTAATCAATAGTAAAATTTATTTCAATTCAGCTCCAGCTAAAATGTCTTCCTTCTCCTCTGTCATAGCTATTAAGTAGAGTAGAAAATAATATGAGAAATAAAATATCCATGTAGAATCAGGAATACCCAGGATTACCCAGTCAAATGAAAGTGTTAAGTAAAAGCCTATTCCATCAAAAGGGAGGTAGAATATTCCTTACAAGAAGTCTAAACTCTATTTTTTGTAATAATTTTATTTGATACTTCCATCATTATCACATCTGAAACAGTGTTACTGAAACACATTACACGGTACGTTTGCGCCTTGGAATGGGGGAAGAGAGATAAGGGGTGGAAGAGTTCATTTAAGTTAATGTTGCAGATGTCTCCAGCCCTTTGACGCGGTCTTTGAAGGAAGCTCGTATTTCTCAAACACATCGCTCCATACTTTCTGGGTCTTTCCGTTCCAAGCGAACTGTCCAAAAGGAATATAGAATCTCATAGGGTATATTACAGTGAATGTCCTCATGTCGAAGAAGAAGCTAATTACATTAGTGTGTTTGATCTTCCTTTCGGATGGCTATAATTTATATTTCTCAAGGCTCCAAAACTACTAATGGATTTGACTAATTTGTAACAAACCTTTGAACAAAAGAATGAAAATCAATGAAGTATTTTATCTTTCCTGGACTTACAAAAAAAAAAAAAAAAATTACTTACTGAGGAGTTTTCTGTTTCTTGGTAAACGGTTGTGCAAGTAGATGATTATTATAGAGGCTGAATGTGCCCCAAGAGATTCTCCCGAACCCAGGATCGGACCATGGCTTCTGCAACAGAATAAATAAGGAACAGTCATAGCTGGACTTGAACCCGGAACAAGGAGCTTAGTAGCGTAGTGCCTTACTATCTAATATAACGCGGTAAAAAGTATTAATTGTTATTTATAAGTGTAATTATTGCTGACGATACGGTCTTTTATCCAGGTTACTTGACAGTCGTTCAAATTATCTTTAACTAACAAACTAATTCTTTATAACGTTTTACTTGAACTAATTTCTACTTACGGCATAGAACTGTGTGGTTCTGCTAAAACTTCCAACATTAAAAAGATTCAGCCCTTCCATTCAAAAGTGTTGCGAAGGATAGGAGAAATCGCAAATTATATTCTATATACAGACTTAAACGTTCCAACAATTTTAGACACGGCAAAAGAAAACTTCATTAAATTTCACCAAAGACTGACATACAACACAAATCCTCTGACAGAAATCCGTCAACGTACAAGAAACTCCTACGAACCACCACGACGATTACGTAAGCGTTGGTCAAAAGACCTGCTGATCTGATTTATATCCCAGATGTGATAAGAAGCTGTGAAGCTGCCAAAAAATGTGCTCATTGCAAAGAAATTTGCAGATTACAAATTTAATTTAATGTTCAACATTTTCGTTTGGTTAACAAATAAATAAATAATTGTTGTTTGCTCATTCCGAAAATATTTTTATTCTCTCAGTACAGTTTCGAGGAGCATGTGTTCAAGAATGTACTACTGACGATAGGCAACTCTGACATTCACTAGTGCATAGCTGGGTAACATGCGGCTTCGGATTATATTATATCGATATAATCTATCCATAGAATTAATAAATATTTAATTACTTAGGTTGCGAAAATTTGAAAGTTGATTATATTTATATAGGAGTGTTATTTAGTGATGAATAAAAATATCAATAGTAAAGTATAAAACTTAGTACTGCCTAACCTTACTGCGGCATCTAACCATAAAAAAGTTCCCCAAATATGCATTAATGTGGAGATGTACAAACGGCTTTATCCCTACATTCAAAATCTACATTCAAAACCCTCCTATTCCAATTCCTGTTCCAAAAACAGTCAGATACCAGCTAACCTTTTATGTAAAATTACATATTATTTATGATAATATATTCACATATAGCTCATAATTTAAATACTTATTATAGATTCGACTTTCTTTTTTTTTTTTCAACAGAAACACAGATTTTACTGTTAAGAAGAATTTACATTTATTTTTTTTTGTATTTTTTTTTTCTAAAAGGGTTTATTTATATTTTACCATTGTACATAGTTTTAAGTATCTTAGTATGGTTTCGAGAGTTTTGTATATAGATTATTTTATTTTGTATATAGTATGTATAACTAATATATTTTTTTTTTTTTTTTTACTGATTTATCCTTATCTTTACTTTTTTTCTTTGTTTTTATCTGGCCAGATATAAAATTTTAATATCTGTACTTTTTTGTTATTCTGAAGGGACTTCGACCCAGAATAACATTACTTTCTATTCTATTCTAATGTGTTATAGTTCTAATTTTTAATCTATTCGATTGAGGTTGGATTACAGAAAGTATATTTTAAACAGTTTATTAAAACTTGTAATAATCAGCTTATCCCAAACGGACTTTATTGTAATTCAAACTGTAGTTTCAAGGAGGCCGAAAGAATTACCCTTTAGTAGCCATTGATCAAAGTGAGGACGAAGACAGATTGAAGAGCAGTTTGGTCAACTCTAATTTAATGGCTTCTTGCCTAAAGTGGCCTAGGGTCAAAGGAGCCTTATAAAGCTAGTCCATAACGGCCCATTACTCCCAGGGCGGGTACCTGGACCTTCCTTAATTGAAGGCTCAAGGCTAGGCATATATCACGGTATATAGTAGTCCTCATATCAGCAATTGTACCACAAACTCAATGGACGATTAATGCTTCATTATTCATTTTTTTTTTCCCCATGGATAATATGCTTTCTTCCGTTCAACATATTTTTCAATATTTTTTTATTCTATAGTAGAAAAACAACAATCAATACAAATTAAATCATACAAAGTTATTTAATTTTAAAAATCTCTTAATATATTTCCTTCTAAACAGACAGGAAATGTTATAGATGTATAATGAAATTCATTTTTAAAATATGTAGGAACAGAAACAATCATAAGAAAAATGTTCAATACTGATGGATTGCTTACTAAAATATTTTATTTCAGTAATTTACTTATTGTATCATTTTTCTTATATCCTGTTAAATTAACAGGGTTGGCTTACAGAACCTTGTAAGAACAAAGTTAATGCATAATTGCTATTTCTGTTATTTTCCTCGACTAGTTTAAAGAATATTAGGTCAGTAACTTCAGCATTGAAACGATAAATATGGCACTAAAAATGGACTAGCTATGGTCCATTATTTCACATTTATTTAGTTTTTATTTCAAACTCTGACTTAGATATTAACTAAATTTTTGCAAAAGCGATATTTATATTCCAATAATAAGGAGTAATTTAAGTCACGGAATTACATGAATATAAACCTAATGTAATATTTATGTTTATCATGCACTTAAAAAGTAAATTCATCTAGGATAAAGTTTAAATGTTTCATATATGTATATTATTTTGAGTTCGTAAAAATATAAAAATTCGTAGAAATGGATATAGTAGTTACACAACAAATTAATAACATGATAAAAACATACGATTAGTAGTAAACAAATCAATAATTTATAATAAAATATAATTATTATCCTCCATTTTCTAAATTATTATTAGTCTAATTTAACGATAAATTTTTACAGACGGATACGTGAAGACAAACAAATATGGTAACAGATAAATTATCATATAAGAAAATAAAATATTCCCAATTCAGCGAAAAATTGTTAAATTATTCATTTTTAGTGAATCAGAAGTCATTGTATAACACATAAATGTCATTTAATCATCAATAAACAAGTATTTTGCTATTATAATAATACTATCTACAAACACTTTTAATGATCAATGATTTTCCCTTATGCTTTCAGCCATTGCTAATATGAATATGGAATTTGTAGATTAGTTTTTTAATTTATAAGTATTAATATTGAATTTATAGTTGCTATATTTTAA